TATGGAGGGGGGCATGCCTTTGAGATCCAGGAACATATGGCCTGCCCTGAGAGGTTTTACTTGACAGTTGGGCCTTGGAGTAAAATATGTTCTGGAAGCCAAATGTGGTTTTCCTAGAGATAAGCACAGCACACACAAAAGGTGGTAAAGTCACTCCTATGTGGCCTAAGGATTTGAAGATTTCATATAACTCTGGACATTTTAGAAGGCTCCACAACCCAATATACTGCCCTAAAGGGCTCTCTCCATTTATTTAAAAATTTTCTCCATTGCTTACACTATCTGAAAACTTGCTTATTTGATGATTATTTGGGTTATTAGCTTTCTGACCTGAGGCACATTTTGTGACTTCTCTAAGTGTCAGTAGCCTCATCCAAAAAGCATGAGATCTAAATGTGATACTTAAGAAAAATGTTGAGAAAGGAAATCATTTCTAAGAGTTGTGGTTGACTTCTATAGCTTCTTTCTTAGTGCACTTTCATAATTTATTATGAAGTTGAGCTGAATTAGAAGGTGGAATTCTTGACCAAATGAGTTGGAAAAATGAAGGAAAAGTCAAAGCCCCTGCAAGTATGGACCACTGCAGGAGAGCAGCAAAGGAAAATCAAATGTATGTGGATGGAGGAGAAGGCAAAAAGAAATTTGGCAAGAAGAGTGTGGGACCCTAGTGGGTGAGGCAGAGAGGGGATCATATACTAAGAAGGAGAGAGATTCAAGAAGGCACTAAAATAGGTTTGATCTATTTTGAATTTTGCATCAAGTCAGACATAATAAGGGGCCAGATAGCTTCCGTGAATACCTTAATCTTTTTGATAAAATCAGTTCTCAAATGCATGCTGTCCTGGCTCCTGGTTGAGGGCTCATGATGTGGCAGCTGCCCAATAGCCTCTGAGTCCCGAGTTCCCATCCCACAATTGCTTGTCCTTGATCTCACTTCCCTTTAGAGAGGCAGTGCTTCTTCCACTCAAGGTTTTCACCACTGAGGCCCCACACTGGTCCTTTGGATGGCTCAGGGGAAGGTGTCATAGAAGAAACAATCAGAGGTTTAAAGGATAAAGAAGAAAGGAAGTGATGTGACTGACACAAAGCTCTGAAATAGTAGAGCTCCTATAGGAAACTACAGATTGCATGGTCATAGTGGTAAGAAAAGGAGGTCAGCAAGGGAGGCCCCACATTGTGCATGGTTTGGGATGCTATGAATATGAAACTGGTCCAGAGGCTCTTACCTGTAGACTATAATCCCTCAGGGGGGACAATTTCAGCTTATAAGAAGCTCCTTGAGCCTCCTTAAATTGTAGGCAAAATGTATGCATATTTTTCTAGGGAGAGAGTTTCTGGATGTAATCAGATTTTCAAAGCGCTTTGTGATCCCCAAAAGTTAAGAAGCACTTATTTATTTGAGGGAGCTTAGAAGCTTGTAACTATATACCAGGCATGGTTATAGATAGACCTGGCAAAGGAGGAGAAGTGAGAAAGAAGAAGAGAGGAGAGTACGGATATGGTTGAAGTTAAGCAGGTGAAGTTGCCAGGAACTAGTGTCTCAGGAGATGGAGGAAATGAGGCAGAGAGAAAAATCTAGGTAGACTCCCTGGTTTCTGGCTAGAATAAGGACAGCCGGGGGCGGGGGATGCCATTAATGCATTTGTAGGGAAAGCAGCCATCAGGAAGGAAATGTGCCACCATCCATCATTCCCATGAGGAAGTCAATAAAAGACGAGGATGTTTCCTCTGGCCATTTGACAGTCTCTGCTATAGAAAACCCAACACTCATCAGGCCTTTTTCAGGACCAGGGGTGTGCCAGCCTTGGGCTTTTGTCCATTAGCACCAGATCCTGGGCAGCTGTCAGTTCTCAGGGTATGAGTGGCTCTGCACCTGGGTAGGCTGGCGTGGGCCCAAAGCTCAGCAGGAAGAGTGTCAATTGTTGGGTGACACCTGGTTTTGCTGGGGAAAATAGTCCTTAATGACCCAGAATTCAGCTGTTTCTCCTCAGAGGTCTGGTAAAGTCAGTTTTGCATAGTAACCAGTTTGCTTTTATTGTGACACACCCTCTATAAATCAAGTAAATACTATGTCCTTTAAAAATATTTGATTTAAGTTTATATAAAGGCAGTCATTTTGTATTTTGAGAGAAAAATGGTTTTCATGAGTTTAAATGGAAATGGTTAGAGAAAAAGAAGACAATAAATAGATTCCTGGCACAGATTTGTATTAATGTATTTTCAACTGAATCAAGCACAAGTTACTGAAAACCAAAGCTTTAAATCTATTATGTAAACATGAAAAAACTATGTTATTTTAATACACATTGAAGTGTTTAATACTTTTGAATTGACTATGTGTTTCCATTAAAAGTCCCCAGTTCGCCTTCGTCTTTGAAGATTGTTAATCCCACACGGGACTCTCTCACTTTGGAATGGGATCCACCAAGTCACCCAAATGGCATTTTGATTGAATACACCTTAAAATTTCAGCCAAGTAAGTTATTGGGAGAAAGAAAAGAAGAAATATGTGTTTAAAAAACCATATTTAACTGTTATCTTAAAATATAGGCTTTTATTTTATATCTGTAGAATATATACATGTACCTTCAAGTACTAGTTACAGAAGGAACTTCAAATCTTACTTTTTAAATAAAAATTATATATATATATAATATATATATATATATAATTATATATATATATAATTATATATATATATATAATCAAAAATTAAGTACTCAGTGGAATAATACAGATCTCTGATGGTAGGATTGGGGGGAGGGGTCCAGTAATTAGATTAGGTAGGCATTATCTCTGAATATAAAATGGTAAAATGAGGTTCCTTTGACTCCAGGTTGATGAAAGAAAGATTTGGGGTTATTTAACACAGGTGACTCCACCTGCAAAAACAGCATAAAACATGCTATTAATGATTCAACCATAAAATTCTGCTAGTTTATAAACTAAAAGAAAACATTTTTTATGTTATGTGCATTGTACTCTACTATTTTATACAGTATAACATTATAAAAGCTATAAAATTATACTTAGTTATGTTAGGCAAAGAATGAGTAGATTATGAAAGTCATTGTAAACCAGGATGGATATTTTTGCTTGACACAATTATTTAAAAGTAATTATGTACAATTATTGGGGAATGAACTTGTTTGTTATTTCTTATTGACAGTTAACAGTACCCACGAATTAGGCCCTCTGATAGATTTAAAAATTCCTGCCAACAAGACACGCTGGACTTTAAAAAATTTAAATTTCAGCACTCGTTATAAGTTTTATTTGTGTGCACAAACATCAGCAGGGTCAGGAAGTCAAATTACAGAAGAAGCAATGACAACTACCGATGAAGGTAAGATGGGTATGTATAAAATCTATATAATTATAAGTATCATGGAATAAAAATCTTTAACTTCAGTTTATGCTTTCTCTTTTCTGTTTACCGTAGAGTATCCATTTGACCTAATTAATAGAAACACTTGTAATTTCTCATTCCAATATATAGTGAAATCAGTAGTTCATATTGGAATAACTATTTGGTGTCTTTTTCAAGCCTACATGAAAAAACTTAAAATGTTGGAGTGGGAATAAGAAATTACAATATTTGCCATATCTGAGTTCAAAGTTCAAGGCAATGTTTTTTTTCCTGAATGTAACTTTATATGTACACATGCACATATGTACTCATACCTGTAATACATATATACACACATGCTGCTTACCCATATATATACAATTCTAGTTCTAATCATGATTCACTGGAAATAATTTGCTAGTCCACATATTGATTTAGTTTTTCTAGTAAATAATCAAGACAGTTATTCAATAGTGTGTTTATTTTGTGTTTGAGCAATGGATTTAGTATTTTGGCATGTTATCTCATAAAGAAAAAGCAAAATAGCTCCACTAAAGTACATAGAAAAGGAATTAAAATTTTCTCTACTTATTTAAAAAATCCTTCTGAAAATTTTAGATTTATTGAAAATGATCAAAAATATTGTAAAAGATTTTCTGGTTTTGCATGTCTCTAAAGTATAAAATGCTTAAGGATTATTCAACTGATTATATTCCATTGCAAAAGAAATTAACATTTTTATCCAAAATTTGGTGCAAAATATAATAAGCCTTCTTATTAACAAGTATGAATAATGCACATAAAGTAATGTGTGGATTTGCATACTGGGTAAGTTTGGGGACACCAACATAGTACTGTCCCCTGTACCTGATGTGGTACAATTCATTCTTCTTGCATGCATTAGCTTTTAATAAGTGTTTTTTTGTATCTATACATGCTCATGGGTGTGTTACATCTAACTATATAGTGTCCTATTTCTGTTTCCCTTCATTGAAGCTGGTATTCTTCCACCTGATGTAGGTGCAGGCAAAGGTAAAATAACTCATCTGCATGACTTTATACATGTGTTTAATTTGCAATGTTAAATGTGGGGAAGTGCAGCATGAGTAAAAAAATAAAATAAAATATGCTTGGAACCACCAAAAGGAGAAGAAGATCTTGACTGATCATGGCTTTAAAATTAATTTCTAGTTATTTTTACAAGTAGAAAGCCACATATTAAATTCTCCCCCAAATTTTTTTCTCAACTTATCCCTGGTGCAAATCCTAATCTTAGCTTTTCATAATATAATTTTGGCTGGATCAGACAGGACCAAAACTGTGGATTTGTCACAGACCAATGGGGCCATGTCACTTATCAAGAATTTAGGTTTGTTAGTCCTGTGGTGAAACAACCTGTGAGGGATTAGATCAGCTGAGCTTCCTGATGCCATCTGACTTAGCTGCACTCCTTGTAGACACAGAGTACACTTGACTGACATGACACAACACTGTGTGCTTAGAACACCCTATGACTGGTTTGGGACTGTCTCTCACTGGATGGCTTACAAGTGGATCTTCCAGTCAGCCTGCATGCTCTGCTCAACTGTGTTACTCCATCCTGTCTTCACCAAACTGCTTAAGTCTCCCCCTTCTGAAATATAGAAACAATTCTGAGTGGATGCCTGTTGTTCTCCTTTATGTCTGATAGCTCTCTGTGTCAGAAAGCCTTGTTGGGGGAATTGTGCTTGATTAGCTGTTTGTAATATGTCTTTCACCTATGGCAATTCCAAAGATCTCTAGCCTTTGATGCCTGGCCATTGGTTCAGTTCTTAAGACAGCAGCAGAGTCTCTGCCACTAGGTAGAGGTTTCAAGTGAGGGACCTATAATAGGGGCTCTTCCCAGGCATGTAGCAGACAAATGAATACAAATAGGAGTGAAGGAAAGAAGAACAAAAACAATAAGGGTTTGACCCAAAATTACTCAGCCCTTGTGAGCTTAAGTTGGATGTATTTCTTCTCTTTCCTTAGAAATTTGCTTATATTCAGACACTTGGTAAATTATAAAATGTGTGACATATTTTAGATAGTTTGAATAGAACTGTAGCTATTTTCAGTGCTCTTAATAATATTGTATTTGTTGTTTAGACTGTAAAGGACAAAGTTGTAAAAATTCAGAATTCCTACAATATTGTAGAAAAATATATGCTTATTTTATTTTATATGTATGCTTCTATTCCAGGATTAGGTATAGATTGAAAACATTAGTTGTTTTGTAATAATTTATTGCTCTATAACTGTAATTAGAGCTGGGCTTTTTTGTGCTGTAGCTGTACATCAGAGAAAGTGCATCAACAGGGCCACCTGTGTAACCTGTCTGAATTCTGTCTGAATTTTCCATTGACTTTTCATATTTGAAAAGGATATAAATTTCACAGGGAAAAAACACCACCCCCTATTTTAATAAACTATAACTAAAAGAAATCTTTATTAAGTGTTTGGAGCCAGACACAGTGTTGCATGCCTATAATTCCAAGTACTCAAGAGGCTGAGAGAAGGAATATCACAGGCTCAAGGTCAGACTCAGCAGTTAGCAAGGCCCTAAGCAACTTAGTGAGACCCTGTCTCTTTTTTTTTTTTTTTTAAAAAGCTGGGGATATAGCTCAGTGCTAAAGCATCCTTTGGGTTCAATCCCCAGTAAAATAGCTAGCTAGCTAGCTAGCTAGCTAGATAAACAGACAAATAAATTAGAAGAGTTGGGGGGGGGTGGGATTCTACTATTGGGTATTATTGCCTTGAATTTTGAGTTATTTATGATTATAGAACAAGGAAAAATTGAGTTTCTGAAAGTTCATTAAGTCCCCAATATAAAATCAGTATCTTCAACTAAAAGGAAGAATAATGTTTAACTAAGAAGAAAAAGCTAAATCTGACATTGCTTACATAAAATGATGGTATGATTTAAACTGCTCAGGCACATTTTGTAATTCTGAATTTCCTTCCTTAAGATATTTTTTTCAATCTAACAAGAAATTTCATCCTCCTCTATATTTCCCTTTTCCATGCAGAGTAGATATTCTCTAAAAGGAGGAAAATGAAAGTTCTTCACAATCCTCCCAATTTTTATTTTTAAAAGTGTTTTATATTTTAATTTAAAATGGTATAAGAGTTAGAATTCTGTACGATAAAAGTAGCCAAACAGCATAACCTTAGGAAATTGTAATATCTGGGTTCCTTTAAGAATAAGCCAAATGTGCATTTCCTATATCAATACTTTAGTACTAACTATATATAATAGTACATTGGATCTTTAAAACTAAAAGCTAAATGCTTTTCTGTTAAGAAGTATTTCACTATGGTTCTTCATTGAACATCTTCTATAATTACTTCAAGACTAAACTCCCCAGTTTTGTGATTCTAAAACTTTTTAATGGAACTTAATGGTTTGCCTGGGTTCTTTGCCACTGATATTTTACACACATGCCCCTATGACCCTCTCTGTTGATTAATCATATTCCCGTCATTGTTTATTTATTTAAAAAGGAGGTATCAGGAAACTAAAATTAGTTACTGCATAATTTAATAATCAAATTTTCCTCTCTGTTATTGCATCTGATAATTAGTACAAAGAGGCACAAAAGGAACATGTGTTGTTGAATTCTATTTCAGAGGTCAAGTTTTTTTATTTTACTTCTTTAATATACATATGGTTTTGGTGCTAAGAAATACTATTTCATTACATTTGTTTCTGCAAAAGTGTTTAGCTTCTAAATTATATAGCAAATTTTAGAATCTTAGAGTCTGAATAAGCCATTAATACTTTCATTAATGGGTAATAAATTAATAGGTAACAAACTAATCTTATTCTTAAGATGTAAGTTACTTTTCTGTAAATTTAGCATTTTTGGTTTAAGATATTGAGATCAGGCTCATAGAATTGTCAATCTCAGGATATTCAAATAATATTTTTAGTCACTTGAGATGCCTTTAGTCAGCAAGCTGATAGTACCATATGCACTGTGTACTTTGGATTTTTAAAAAGATAGTTATAGTACATTTTTTGAAAAAAATGCTATGTAACCAAAGGTTAACAGGTAAGATCATCTTGCCTTCTAAGATATGTCAAGTGAAATAATTCCTACTCCTTTTATTTCTACTTTCTTAACTTCTGATAGAGCAGATTTGGCATTTTTTTGCAGCTCTTCTTCCAGCATACTCTAACCATCCAACATTACCTCAAAGCAGGTGAAAAGCCACATTCTAAGGAGCATTCTTTCTCACTCTTGCAAAAATTCTTTAAAGACCTGCACTGAGTTGACAAATATAATTGAGAAATAGCCTCATAGTATTGGGTTTTGCCTGGAAGTCTCGCATGTACTGTAATGATATATGTTCCTGGGGTTGTTGTGAAATCCATCCACCTGTAAATGAGGACTGTGGTATTTCCTGGTACTGTATCTATGGATTACAGTTTACATTGTTCAGAACCTGTATATTAGAACTTATAAATTTTAATATTACATATCATTATTTCTGATTATTTATTTCTTAATACTTTAACAAATGAAAAACTTTTCTGTAATGAAAGTGAGGTATGAGCAAACCCCAAACTTTAAAATTTATTCTTACTTAATCTTATTTGCACAATTTTGGAGCATTTGAACTTGTTTTCAAATTGTGTGTATGGTGCTGCAATATGATTGTTTGTTTGTTTTATTTTTCTATTGTATATTTAGTTCAAGCAGTAAGTCCCAGGATCAGCAATCTTACTGCTGCAGCTGCTGAGACCTGTGCCAATATCAGTTGGGAGTATGAGGGACCAGAGCATGTGAACTTTTATGTTGAATATGGTGTAGCAGGCAGTAAGAAACTATTTCATTACCCTGATTTTAATTTGGGGGATACTTTTCAAGAGATTAAGAACATTTCCAAGGATTTACTATGGATTGTTTTGAAAAATAACTTGACCCTGTAAATCAGTTATCTGAAAAAATTATAGCCAATTGTCAGTCTATATGTTTTATACATAATGAGGAGTGTCTTTTATCATGTTATGAATGACAAGGGGCATGAGCACTATTACATCTGTTGTTTTTCACACCAGTATTTAATATTGTTCCAAAGTCACACATATAAATAAGAGTAATAACAAATAATTTGTAGGTACAGGTAGGAAAGAAGACATTTTTATTTTTTCAAATTGGATCTTAATGTAGCAGAAATAAAACTGCCTTGAAAGTATTCATTTTACCCAAACTAATCCAACAAAATTTTACAAGAAATTACAGAAAATTAAAACTTTGTCTTAATGTTTGGATATATTCCTAAATTGGCATTCTGTTTCTATCCTGACCACATCTACTGGGGGATGGCGACTTTCATATTCAACAGTTTATTAAAGCCCAGTTGATTAAACCCAGTTTATTAAAATGCTTAATTCATTGTGCTCTGTATAATAATAAGCTAGATGGTCAATGAATATTTGAACAAAATTTTGAACTTAGTCCAACTTTCTGTTAAGCTTTTATCATACAAATAAATATTTTAAGAAATAACTATCCTCTCAGAAAAATCAACACTTGGGAAATGTTGAGTCTATAAATTGGACCAATTTGAAGGCATTTAGTTTACTGAGAAATTCATCTTGTGAACTTTGAAAATTAATCCCTCCCATAGTTCATTTAACCTATTTAATGTGTAACAGTTCTTTTTATAAACATTTCTAGAGAAGCTCAACAGTTTCATCAGGCAAAAAGCAGAAAAGGAAGCTCTCTTTGTATTAAAAAGAAGAATTAACACAATGGAAATATATGTAATTAATATGCAAACAAGGTATCCAGGAAATTTTTGAGGATAATTTCATGTAGGTCTTCTATTCATTCATTTAACATGATCAGATTTATAATAATCTAAAATGATAACTCTAAGCATCCTAGATTTTATCTTTAGCATGTAAAGATTTTCCTTTCTTGAAGCATTATATGACTTCTGGACCCTTAAAATGTTCAAATTTGTTGTTTTTTGCAAAATTTCCATAGGCAAAGAAGAATGGAGAAAAGAAAATGTAAATGGTTCTCGGACCTTCTTTGGGTTAAAGGGTCTAATGCCAGGAACAGCATACAAAGTTCGAGTTGTTGCTGTGGGGGACTCTGGTTTTGTGAGTTCAGAGGATGTGTTTGAGACAGGCCCAGGTGAGGCACACACCACACCAGTTCTGGCTCTCGCTCAGAGGTGGCGCTCTAGTTAGAGACCGGAACTGGCGGACCTGTGTTGTGGGTAGGGCCACGAATGCCTTTCTGTGGGGCTCTGTTGGGTTGAGAGTTTTGGTTTTTAATTGTCTTTGGCTCTTCATATCAAATGAACTACAGAATTGAACAAATTATCCTTCAGCCACATTATTGCCAAAAACCATTAACAAAAAAAAGACTTAAATATGATTTTCACTTACATTATTTTGATAATTCAATTTTTATATAATGTATATGTATAAAATTTCCCTCAAAGTTAACCTGAAATTTTTTTAAATGCTGTTAAAATTGAAATAATTTGTAAGAGAGTCACAATTCTTATATCAAAAAATGGATCTCAACCCAGCAGAATACTGCAATTTGATTAGATGACTGATATAAATATTATTAAGTTTGTAAGGAACAAGAAATTTTATACTTCATATATTACATTTTTGTCACAACATGTTTGACTTCTTTATGTTTTAGTTATGTAAACATTATCAAAATACACAAAAAAGTAACATTTATAAAGTAAAAAGAAATGCTCATGTAAAATGCATGAATATTCATATTTGTTTTCAAGATGGAAAGCAATCCCTGATTACTTAAATTTAAATAAGAGTTGTATGGTATGTTCTCATTTTGTGGCTCATACATTCATCTTATGTTTAGTCACTTCATGTATTCTTGAGGAAATATTGCATATCCTTGCAGAACCCATAAGCAAAATGGATTTTTTTGTTGTGTATTTAATTAAAAAAGCATAATGATTTTTAAAATAATTTTTTGTAATTTAAGAAATATATAACCATATTTGTTACAAAATTTAAAAACCAAAGGATAATATTCAAAAACTTATCAAGTGGTATTTTAAAAACATCCATATGCTAGAATAAATGTTAAATATTTTTCCCTATTATTCTGCTCCTTGTATCTTCATATCCATTTATATACATAGTTCCAGAGAACCCCTATATTAAACTTAATAGGGCATAGCTAACCAATCATAGTTCATTTTACAAGGTGTTTGTTTATTATTATTAACAATAAATTTTAATTTGAAAATTTTGGCAGCTCCAGTCTAGATATACAGCTAGAATGAGAATAGTAGTCCCAGCATTTAGTTGGTCCTATTCTATACCAGGCAAGTGGCTTTTCCTTCAGTCCTTTCAGCAATCCTGTGAGGTGGGCACTATTATTGTCCACTTACACCTCATGTCAGTACGTAGAGGCGGAGAACCTGCCCAGACCAATAGGTGGAACATGGTAGAGCCAAATTAGAAGCCTGTCCTTTCAGCATCTGGCCCTCACCAGACCCCACACACAGTCAAAGGCTATAATCCAAGGAAATGGGTCGTCCCAAATGACGGCTTCAGTCAGCCCTTGTTGTACCTGTTCTGCTGTTCTGGACCTAAAGGCTTCGTGTGTTCTTGACTTGCAGATGAGTTAGATTCACCCTCAAAATCAAGTTGTAGCATTTTCTGTTCTTTTATAAGACGAAACCAAAACAAAACTAAACCCAGTGGCAACTGCCAGGAAGCTCAAGATGAGTGATTGTGACAGATGGGCCATTCTTTCATGCCAGTGATGAGAGACAGGACAAGGCCACAGCCAGTTACCGTCACTTTTTCCATCTAGATGTAACTGTTAAATAGAATGAGTATGGAAAACTCTAGTGACCTTAGTTCACCTGTTACTCCTTCTTAAAAAAAATAAATAAACTATTGGTGATTATAATGGTGGGATTTGCTGTTATAGATTCAAACATGCACACAATAAATCAATATAATTTGGTCAGTTTCCTTCACCAGTACCACCCACTGCACACACCTGTTACTCCTAGGAGCAAACACTGTCTGCTTCTGGAATGCCTCTACCTCTCCTCCCAGTTTTTGGTGCTTCCTCCTTAGCCCTGCAGGTTGACACCAGTCCTTGTCCTCTCCTGCTCTTGCTCCTTCCCTGCACATGCAAGAGGCAATGGTGAAATCATACCTTGGTGTAAAAACATACCTTTTGACTTTTTTTGCTTTTTTTAAAAAATTTTCTGAATTCATGAACTGCTTCCTTCTCTGAGTTTTGCTAATTTGTGGGAACTTAGATTCAACCTAGTTGTTTCATAAATCCTCTTAATGTGACACCATCTCTGCCTTTTACAGATTTTTTGTGTGTGCTGGATTTTTTGTATGAGCTGAGGAATGAACCCAGGGAAACTTAACCACTGAGCCACATCCCCAGCCACTTTTTTTATTTCATTTAGAAACAGGGTCTAACTGACTTACTTAGGGCCCCGCTAAGATGCTGAGGCTGGCTTTGAACCCATGATCCTCCTGCTTCAGTTTCTCAAGGTGATTACAGGCATATGCCACCATGTCTGGCAACAGTCTGGAATTTTAAGGCATTTTTTTTTTTTAAATGAATCAAACAAGACTACAGGCAGCACCTGAGGCTGTGCTTCTCCCCTTTGATCCTGGCAGGATGTTTCATTAACACCAGCCCACCTGTGTGACCGGGTGTGACCACTCATTAACACCACTCACTTCTCTTCCCCTTCTCACCTCTGTCCCTCAGTTAAAGTCACTTCTCTGACATTTCTAAGACTAAAATTTATTCTTACTGTGCCTAACAGCTTTTTTTTGTCAGCTGCCTCCAACCTTTTGTCAAGATTATTTTTTCCCTTTCTGTTTATAAAAATCTCTATTGTAAAATGAACAGAACATTTTTAAACATAGTGGATTCTTTCTCAGTAATGTAGAACAAAGTGCCATTTCTGTCACTCTCTGTCTTCTGAGCTTATTTGGTGACCATGAGTACTCAGGGGCACCTTCCTCAGAGACCTCCTACCACCACGCACAGATTATCCACAGCTCTTCAGTCTGAGAGGGGAGGACAGTTGTTAGAATTAACTTCTAGGCAACAACAACAACAAAAAAATTCTGTTCCTCTACCTCATTTTATTTTTATTATTTATTTCTTTGATACTTAGGATTTGACCCAGGTTCACTTTTCCACTGAGCTACATCCCCAGCCCTTATATTTGAATAGTCTTTATATGTGTAACTTTGTCACTTTATGGATTACTCAGTAATACCTGTATACAATTTTATTGTAAAAACTTTGGAAAATGTGAAAACTCTCTTTTAGTCTTCACCCCATTCCCACTCATTGAAATTCATATTCTAGAAGGAAAAGACCCATAGGCTTCACTTATATGTCTGTTCATGTGTGTGTGTGTGTGTGTGTGTGTGTGTGTGTGTGTGTGTGTGTGTGTTTATGATCTTCACAATCTTGGTTATGAGTTTTTATGTTACAGATAAGATGATTTGGAGTGTCCTAAGGAGGTTGGGAACCTCATCCTGTCATCCTGGGCTTTATATCCCAAGTTCAGATGGGAAATCAATAGAAGTTATTTCTACTTGCAGAATAGCTGTTTTGTGTCAACTTCTGGTGCACTGTGTGTGTGTGTGTGTGTGTGTGTGTGTACACATGTACCTGTTAGCTTATTGTGCCTTATTAATCTTAAATAATGAGCTAGGGATATATTTAATACTTTTTTTCTTTAAAAGAGAGGCAAAAATTCAGAATCAGTGTGGGTGTTTGTTTTCCAATGTCAAGAAAACACATCCAGTTTTTGCACAGTTGTGTAGTAGCAAGCTTCTAGCCTGACATTCCATTTTTTAAGACAGATTCTGTGCTAGTATTTGAATATCTTGTTGCATTTTTTCATTATCAATTGCATGTAAATAGATGAAAAGGTCAATGTTGAAATTGTTTAGGACAAGGCAATAAATCATTAAGCATACTAGAACCAGATTCCTAACTTAAGTCAAATGCTCAAGAGACTATGCTTCTTGGTTTTGGATTCAGTTTAGAATAAGAAGCACACAAAGACCTTTGGCAAATTAACAGAACTATATTGCAAAGAGAATGTAATGATTAACTTTTCAAACATTTTTACCTATCTCAGTATTTTATTCTGTGTTCAGATATTTGTAGATTTGATGTCTAGACTATGCTTAGGAATGCATTGTAGCAGCTGCTAGTGTACTAGCTAGTAGCATCTCACCAGAGCCAGACAAACATGTGTCCATCTCCAGCTCTTGGGCAAGCTCTTTACCTCTTTGGGCATGGTTTATTCCTAATGCTTACCTCAAAGGATTGTTGTAGAGATTAAATATGACCTCAGCACAGTGCCTAGCATATGGTAAGCCTACAAAAGTGTTAGCTGTCATTATTATTACCATTATCTTCATCCTCACCATCATGACTCAGGGATGTGTGTTGGAGAGGGAAACTGCCTATACTCACTCTTCAATTTTGTCTGCTTATGGTACAGCTCAAAACCCCTCTAACTAATGAGGCACAGAAAGCCATTGGCCTTTGATTTTATTCCAGATACCATGTTTCCACTGCTCATTTTATTTCTTGAACATATTTTCAGACATTTTTTACATTACTCTTCACACTTGATTTTTATCATATTATTTTCTCCCTTACTTTCTATGGAGAAAAGGGGGCAATGAGATGCTTTCTTTTCAATACATAGAAGAACCCGGGATACATGTAGCTGTGCTTATTTCTCCAGAGATCATACACATCTAACCCAACTACAAGAAATGTTGACAGAAGAAATTCAATCAAAGTGAAAGCATAATATAGTCATGTTTATGAAGTCAAAGAAGAAAATTTTTTACCCTGCTTATTTATGGCCAAATGAGAAAAAAATCAAGACCTTTAACAAAGTATTCATGAAAATTTATTTAAACAAATCCGCATGGGTGTGTCTGAATAGCCATTGATGCTGCACTTGGTCCCATATAATTAACACTTTTGAATAGCACCAGAAGTGGTCACTTTCCTGTGGTTTTCTTAGAAGTTTTGTTAAGAAATGACTGGTTGAATAAGGGGCCTCACATTTATTTACTCAAGCAGAATAGATGAAGAGGTAAAGAAAACATATACATGTGAATGAGTATTTTCTCTTCAAACTGGTCATTTATTCTAGTAACTCCACTGATCAAAATATATTTTAAAATATTTTTGATAGAAACTAAGAAATAACAAATATTGATCATCTGAGTAGATTCAATATTATAGAAATTTCCATTTGGAATTGAGGTGTTATATAAAATAGGGTTGTGACAGACTTCTCACGTGAATCATCTTCTTTTTAGACAGATTGCCAAAGCTCTGAAAAACAGCAGTAACATTGCAATGGCACTTTAGGCTCCAAAAGTGGTTTCCTTTGAAGGAAAAATACTCCATTAGATGTATACATTCTGTTCTGTTTAAAGTTCAGTTTTATATTCCTTTCATTGTATCAATATTATAATTTATCCTATAAACAATAAATTTTTAATTAGCTTGGGAATATGTTTCTATGAGAATATATATTTTACATAACTGTGAACACAGTGTTTAACAGGGTTTGATACCATTTAATGTTATTAGCATTCATATTTCTTAAATTATTTAAATGATGAAGATTTTACAAAGTTAGGTAATTATATAATTCCTGATCAATAACTGACAGGTTCCAATTTGGGGCCACATGGGAAATGTATAAAAGCTTGTATATTAAGGTGGCTTTTTTTTATTACAAGAAGCCACCACAGTTCTCTGCCCCTTACCGAATTCCAACCAATACCATTGATTTGTTTTCCAGCGATGGCAAGCCGGCAAGTGGATATCGCGACTCAGGGCTGGTTCATAGGTCTAATGTGTGCTGTTGCGCTCCTTATCTTAATTTTGCTGATTGTTTGCTTCATCAGAAGAAACAAGGGTGGTAAATATCCAGGTAAGAAAAAAATATACTGAAATTACTTTATAATTATTCATTAAACTAAAAAGAATTGTGTAGATTGCAATAGTATATTTCCCTAGATACAGAAATTTGCATTTTTCTGTTCAATTTTTTTAATCCCTTTTTATATAATGACATTCTAACTACTGGCAAAGGCATAGGGCATTTGGAAGAGCAAATCAGTCTGTTCTCTGATAATGCAAGTTTACTCTCTTAGGCTCCACAAAAGTTCCCAATACTGAAGCAGTACCTAAAAACCAAGTGGTGGGATGGAGTACCAGTGCATGAAGCTTTCCAAAGGAAGTAATTCATAGACCCAGTTTTGATGTTGTGATATGTGACATGCTTTCTCTATTAGGCTGATAGTTCACTCAATTTAGTAGGTCCATCAAATTTATATATTTTTTAAAATATTTACTTTTTAGTTATATTGGACACAATATCTTTATTTTATTTATTTATTTTATGTGGTGCTGAGGATGGAACCCAGGGCCTTGCATGTGCTAGGCGAGTGCTCTACTGCTGAACTACAACCCCAGATCAAATTTATATTTTCTTTATGTGACCATTTACCTTCTGGTTATAAGAAAAATACTGCATAAAAAATAGACTTACGAAAACAATTTGTTAGCATGAATATACATAATAAACAGATGGGTGAAATGGGGGAAAAATCTTGGAAACTTACTAAAGTCACCTTATGTGTTAACAAATGTTCATTTTATTAGTTTCCCACAGCAATGACAAATGTATCAATTACATGCACAACTACATAATATTTCTGTTTTTATGGTTCTATAACATCTACTTGTGGAGAGAATTATTTTCCTCTGCTGTATAACTTTGATAATGAAGTACAAGTTCAATAGATAATGATGCTATTTCTAAATTTTCAGTTAAAGAAAAGGAAGATGCTCATGCAGATCCTGAAATTCAGCCGATGAAAGAAGATGATGGAACTTTTGGAGAATACAGGTGGGCCTCTGCTTCCTGTTTCTCTTTGTCTTCTTGGCCCTGTCCCTCAGCAAACAGTCTCCCAAGGCAGGATTCAAACAGCAAAGTACTCTCTCTGGCTGTACACATGGCCTCAGTTTAGAAATACTTCCATGCCTAAATGTTTACATGTTCCTCAAGATTAAAACATTCTCTCTTTTCATTAAAATATAAATTTCCATTTTAGTGATAGGTTTGGAGGCAGAGTATGTTTGGAGGCAGAGTATGTTCCAGAGGCCCATGTTGTGTTGATCAATCTAGCAAAGCCAGCAAGTTATAGGGAGAATTAGAATATGAAAGACCCTACTTCCTACAAGATCTGCATTATAAAGAAATGTGCCTTTATAAAACCATTGTAAACAAAACCCTTTAATCTCAGATATGTAGCTCTACTTAAGCAATACTTATACTTCTGTTGTTCATGGAATGATGAGTATCTCATTTTATAAGCAGTTAATTATAAAGCAGTATCACAGCCATTTGGTCCATGTGTTAACTCACAGAATTTTGAAGATACATTCTTGACTTAATCATTAAGAAGAAATATTAATAAAATCTATTTGCTGATTTTTTAAACATCTCTTTAAACAAGAAATATTTTTGCCTAGGCAATATAGGTCTTTTCAGAAAGAAAGAAGTTATTATTCTAGACATGATTAAAAACAGTAGCAAAATATTTATTTAAGTATTCTAAAAGATCATCACTCTGGTGTCCCAAAAGGGTATTTCTATAATCTTTGCACTGAGCTCAAATTGAGGCTTGCTTTTTTTTTCCCACTAGAAGAAAAAGACTTTTGGGTGAAATAATAAAACATTTCACTATTGTAGTTTCCAGGTGGCATTTGTATCTAAGATATTTGTGTTAAGAATGCCCCATTTCTGGAGCTCATTTTTGGTACTTCCATGTCAGTGTCATGAGGGTAAAATAATGCCAACAGTGAGAAATATAGGGCTGATTGAGAAAAGCCATATATTTCCAACAGAATGGGTTTTGTGCATGTTTCCATGTAGACACGAGGGTTTTGCCTTCCTTGTCTGGACACAAGGAAGAGCATCCACATTCTGATCTTCTCTTCAACGGACACAACTATAGTTTCTTTAATTTCCCAGAAATTCTGTATCTCGGGGTATGGAAAAATTTGTAGTGAGGCTTGTCTTGATGTTACTTGTTGGCTCTGAGGCTGAAAGCATAGGAAAACCTCCTGCAGTACCCCCACCCTCTGCACCCAAGGTTTTTATAGCATATGAGAGCAGCCTACAAATGCCCATAGTCCAGGAGAGCTGCATCTTACACTTACAAGCTGTGTCTTCACTGATTTAACTCACTCTTCTACACATTTCTCCTGTAAGCAGGTGAGCATGTAATCACTAAAATAGCTTGTTTTTAGAATTCTCATAGTTATAATTCTGTACAGGATATTCACACTGCTCCTTTGTTGATTATTAAGAAGCAACATCTTTAATATAGCCTGGAAAACTTATTATATATTTGCATGAGTTGAAAATAAACCATAAGCACTTCATATATTTTCCACATGGTGATGGATTCCTGTTTTCCATTATCATGCTTAAATGAATATGGCAATGTACTGCTCACTTCATGGATCTCAAATATCATTTGCTATGATGGTGATATAAAGCCATGACCTGAAAAACAATGTGACTTTCCTGGAGTAACGATGCAAACTACACTATTATGACTTGATTAAAATTGAGGTTGAGTTTTGTGAACCAGCTTGGAACCAAGAGACTGTTAATTTTACTGTCAACTCAACCATCACCTGTGATTCTTTTATATGGTACTCAGTTTGACAAGGTCTCGATTTTTTTTTTTCATCTATAAAGGGAAATAGTTGTTCAAGTATTAGAAGGTCGTCAAAGCTTTCTTTGCTGGTTCTATGATTTCTGTACTGTGAGCTATATACCAACTACTTTGAATATGTTATTTTCTCTAGAGCAGTACATAGCAAGTATTTAGATTATTGGCCTCATAATCACTATTTAATTTACATTTGTTTGATCATCTTCCTTTGTCTTGGTGTGAATTCATGTGTGCTATGTTCGTGAAGCGTTTTCAAATGACTGTCTTTAACTTTTTCCATGATTTCTCAAGATGAAAAGACTTTTTTATTTGGGCCTATTGAATACAAACCCAATTGGAGTGAAGACAAAAACTCTGATGACACATATAATGGCACTGATGGCAGAGGGGCCAAAGGAAATAAAGTTCTGATGGGTGTCTCCAACTTGAAACACAACTTAGACATGTGATTTTTTTTTAATGAATCTTAAAGTTCATAAGGACAACACCACGTGCAAAACTACTTCCCCAAATTCCTGAATACCCTGTGTTACAGAGTGGCTTTGTCCTGTGATTTTCAGACACTACCTCGGAATTTTTTCCTTTTGGTTTCATTTCTGTTTAAAGAAATCAGATGATCTTTATTTTCTTAGATGCACAATTAATGAAAACGGTTCCAACTACTGTTTATTACAGAATTTTTTTTGTAGAAATACATTTTAGTGTCACTTTTTTCCCCTAAATCACTGGGGTCCTTTCTCTGCTTTGCACCTTCTGAAAGTTTTGAGCTCTTTATCACTTGCTAATTCTCATTCTCCTTCATTCCAAAACTGAAATATAATGCTGATCATACTGACACACACAAAATTAGGATGATTGCCTAAATGTGAATTTATTCTATGTGCAATTTGCTTATTTTCCAGTCTGAGGATGAAACTGTTTCTATATGGTGGGCTCTGAGCCACAGGACATTTCATAGTGCAAAGAGGGATGGAACTTCAATTGTGGCCAAATTTGATTGTTTTCCATATGCTGTAACCCCATGCACTCACTCCAATACCCACCCCTAAGCAGTTATCCTCATGTGGAAGCCTGCAGCTTTGTTTGTTTGTTTCTTTAATTATACAGACAGTAGGATCTGCATCCTTACTAGCATATAGAAAAGTCAGAGAAACAATTCAACCAACTGTGTAAGTATTTTCTTATTCTTTAGATCCATTCTTTCTGAAACAAGAATGAACACAGCACGTAAACCATGTATCTATGGTACTTGAACTCATAACTTACTGCATAAATGGAGACTCTTGCCATGGGAATCTTGCCATTCATGTGAATGTGATCATGTTGCAAGCATGCTAACCCACACTCACAAAGCCTAACCAAAGCCAAGCTGTGTCACTTTTGTTACATACTTCAGATTTATTCTTCTTACAAATGTGAACTGATGTGTGAGCAAAATAAGTAATGACAGGCTTTTAGAGAGTGGGTTGGAAAGAGTTTCTTGGTCATGGATGTCAATGAAACCATGATAGGATAGTGACTACAGGACAATGAGACATAATTATCATATTTATTTGCTGTTGCTGAATTTTACTCAGTAGGCATTTAATAAGGGCACATGCCTAAAGCATGTTCCACTCAAAAAACACACTGAACTCCTTAAAATTTATCCTAAACATAAAATACAGGAAAATATATTTTCATGTTTTATCTGCCATCATAAAATTAAAGAAGGAATGAAATTTTTTAATGTTAGAATTCTGAAAAATTTCTGAAATGCCCACCATCTCTTTATTGTTACTTTTTCATGAATTCACCCTATCAATGTTATTGAGTGCCTTCAAGTAAATATTTTTGACTTTGCAGGCCATGTGGTCTGTGTTGCAACTCTGCTGTTCTGTGTAGCACAAATTAATTATAGATTAATACATAGTAAATGGGCATGTACCAAATTAGCTGTAGTTTACAAAGGTCTTATCTCTAGGGGGTATATTTTCAATACTTGATAACAGAGTAATGTTTTCAAAATGTAGATCACATTTTGTCACTTAGCCATTGAAAACTCTCCAGTGGCTTCCCATCTTACTCAGTGTTACAGGGAGAATCTTCAGTGTCCCATGGGTCACTGATATAGCCCAGTCTCCTCCTCATTCCTATTAATCTCTGCTTCTCACTTGCTCCTCCAGTTCCAGCCACATCTCCTTGCTGTTGCCAAGCTCGCCCCTACCTCAGGACACTTACACTGTCTTGTGACTTTTGCCAGAATCGCTTTCCTTCCAGCTGGCCAACATAGTTCTTAAGCTTTATCCAGTACTACTTCTTAAGGAGTCCTTCCTTGGACATCCTAATCAAATATATTTTCTGTAGTACTAATTTTCTATCATAAAGAGTCCTTTATGATAAGGAGTCCTTTATCATAAGGAGTCCTTCCTTGGACATCCTAATCAAATATATTTTCTGTAGTACTAATTTTCTATCATAAGGAGTCCTTTATGATAAGGAGTCCTTCCTTGGACATCCTAATCAAATATATTTTCTGTAGTACTAATTTTCTATCATACTAATTGCCTTCCAACATCACTAATTTTCTTGTTATATTGATAGTTAATTGTACTATACCCTAAGAGAAGTCAATTTTGTGAGGTCAGCGTTTCAGTCTGTCTTCTTTGCTCCTTTATCCCCAGTGCCTAGATGCTCAGTAAACATTTATTGGATGAAAGGATGAGTGCATTGATGGCTGGATCAAAGTAGTGTCATAGACAAAAATTTCCTGTAGTATCCTTGGGAAGCTCGTTCTACAAAGCAGAATAAGGCTAATAGTTGGAATCCGAGTGACAAAATTCTGTTCATTATTGAACTTTTCAGCAGAACTGACTTTTTCATCAAGTCATGTTCAGTATTTCACAGAAACTATTCCTACAAAGCCTACAGATTAATGAGTAAATCCCAAAGATGTAGTCTAAGCTATTTTCATAACAAATTAGAAACTGAATGTTATGCTCTCCAAAATGCCCTCAAAGACAGGCAGCTCAAGGTTCTGTGACTCCACCCCAGTTGTTTATCAGTGGTGGTGATAATATAGATTTTCAGCAAGAACTTGTGTGTTGTTAAATAGGTAATTTTCATTAGCAAAAGCCAGTGTCATGTGGCTAGCATTACTTCCCAGTCTTGAGATACTATTATTGAAGAAAAAAATGAAACCACTAGCAGATGTTATTGACAAAGAAGACAGAATATTGGTGCATCTTAAAATTTACTAGATAAACTACTACAGCTAAGCAACCTCTTTGTTACATTAAGACTTTTTATTCTTTACTAATATTGGGTGTTTCCTATTTTGACTTGCATTTGGTTCTTTGAAAGAAAACAAAATATTGGATTATGCCATTGCCCTTTTTTCCACTATTTTTTTTGCCCAAATATTACCTATTAAGATATTTCTTAATATCTAATAGGCCAATGTGCATACCTAGTTACGTGAACAGTCATGTAATTAGGTGGACATCCTTAAATACCTCTTCTACTTCCTAGAAATTGTGCTTAGGTGTTCAACAGAGAAATAAGAAAAAATAACAATTACTATAGAGTCCTATAAAGCTTTATTAAAGTGTGTCCCTCAGCTTCCCATCCAATGTAGACAAGCTGGATGACACACATGGCACAAGGAGAGGGGGTTAAGATGAGTGCAGGAAGTCTTTGATTTTTTGTGTTGGAAGCACTCATGCTTTTTAGACTATTGGCATGCCATTCATACTACAAATTATGGAGAGCTTTTAAGTTAAAGTGTGAATGTTTCCAAATTAATAAGTTTTTACCCATGACTAACAGTTTTATAGGAAAAAAATACTGTGTACTATCAGTATAAGGATTTTGCTTTTCTTCTTAGGCTATTTTCATTTGTTTCTTCTGCATCCTTTTAATGGAATTTGTAGGTCTCTTGAAAGGTAAGGTTGAAGTTTACAAGTCTGGCCAATAACAAAATTATTCGAAATGCAGGATTTTGCTTCTCCTTCTGGCTCAGAAAAAAAAAATCCATGTTTCACATTTAATCAAAATCATGCTCCATTCATGTCCAAGGAATCAGTGATGTTATGCAGTTTAACATACTAATAACTTCTCTACCTCCTATAAGTTTCTCTTCTCACTTTGAATTCAAAATAGTGGTCTCCATTTTTTCTCTATTCTTCCTTTTTTAATGCTTGTGATTATTTCTGGATTGCTTTCAAATCAGGGGTCAGCCTCTCTCATTGAAATTAACATGCACAATTGCAGGCCATCCATTCGACTGAAGACTTCATAATTCAACCATTTCTGCACTGCTCTTCATTCCAGCTCCATACTAGTCACTGGAGTCAGCCTGACAATTAGATTTGGCTACAGAAGCTCAGGACTCCAAGTGCTTTTCCATAATTTGCATGCGTGATCTTTAAAGAAAAAGATGTTACCCGACTGCCAGTCATGACAACAGTGTTTCCTCTTTATTCCAGTGATGCAGAAGACCACAAGCCTTTGAAAAAAGGAAGTCGAACACCTTCAGACAGGACTGTGAAAAAAGAAGACAGCGATGATAGTTTGGTTGACTATGGAGAGGGGGTGAATGGCCAATTCAACGAGGATGGCTCCTTTATTGGACAATACAGTGGTAAGAAAGAGAAAGAACCGGCAGAGGGAAACGAGAGCTCAGAGGCACCTTCTCCTGTCAATGCCATGAATTCCTTTGTTTAATTTTTAAGCTCTTTGCCAATGTCCGATTTCTCTAGAATGTTTATCTTAAGCACTTGTTTGTCAGCCTTCTCATACTATGAACATATGGGTAGAAAGTATGTTTTCTGCTGTATGTTAATATTATGAGAAAAGTTAGAGCAAGAACACAAATGACATGTCAATGTGAACTGCAGTGCAAAGTGCATACTTTTTCATTCAAAGTGGGTTGTCTCGATTTCCTCAGAACTGATCAAAATGATGCAACATCGTCAACAAATCATGCTATTCCCTCTTCAAGATACAGTTCAATAGGATACATGAGAAATGCTACACATTTAAAGGACATACCTAAGTTAAGTATGTTATTAAAACATGGTTTGATACTTTGTTTATACTATCCTCAGCTGAACCCCTAAATATGAATTCCGTTTTCATTGTCAAGAGTGTTACTGTAGTATTCTCTAGAACTTCAATGTCTTTGTGGACATTGTTGTGAAATTGGTGATCCTATGTCTAGCTGTTGTTAGTCTTTTGGGGAGACTGGTAGGAACAGTATGTACAGTATATACTTGCTAAATAAGTTAATTATGACAGTTGCATTTGCTGATGCTACTGAGACTCTGTTACCTGCTCTTTGCTCCTGTTACTTCATAGGCTTCTTAATCTTCCAGGTATTACAGCAGCACAGTGTTCTACTTTGTACATTATCTGTGTTTGGTTGTTTTTAGGCATAAACAGTGTGTATTGCAATGCATTTGGACATTTGTGCCATACTGAAAGAATTGAAAACAAATCACTGTAATTAAATTTCAAAAAATTTTCCAGAAAACACAGGGCAAGATACATGCAGTGCCTTCAGACAATAAGCATTCCATAATATACTGCATTCTGTATCAGCCAGTACAGTGGACTCCATCTTAGATTACTGTCATTGTCAAAAAGTAACTTTTGAAAAGCAGAGATAATGAAAACTGCAATGCTGAAAACAAAAACAAAAAAAAAATGAAAAGGAAAATTAAAGTAAGAAGACAGTTTATTTTAAGGGACATTTCCCCATAAATTACAAAGAAAAATTTTATTATCAACTAGACAACATGATAGTTTGGTTTCCATTCCAACAGGTCACATTCAGTAAGAATGTCAACATGGTATAAAATTAATAGAAAAATAAACAAGTTATTGCAAAACTAAAAGCATACAACAGCATGCCAACATAATTTATATTTGTAAGACTTTACCTATATGAGCTTTTGAAACTCTCTGCAGCATTAAGCAATGTATATGCAAATCACAATGGACACACTTCAGAATCTAAGAAATTTGACAAGTGCTTAAAAGGCCAACAGTCTAAGGAATTACATCTGCAGTCTAAGAAATAAATATATATATATTCTATCTTATTCATAAACAATATCTATCAAATGGTTTACCTCTAAATATGAAAATCTATAACAACCTATGGTTGAAGGAATGCTCAGTTTCATTTGCCAATAAATTGGTTTCTCATAACTTGCATCAAGTTTAATTTTAAGTAAAGCTTTTTATATGTAGATATTTTGTTGAATTTGTAAATATACTTAAAGTGTAGATGCTATATGCTTATAGGTGTTACATACAAATAAACAAGTAAACAATGTTTATGTTGCACTGTGTAAGAAGTAAGCTAATTCATGCAGTGTGTGGGATTGGAAAGCATCTAAGTACCTTTTGTGTTTTTTCTCCCTTTTTGCTGTGACATGGAAATAGCGAACTTTTCCACAGCAGGTTTCTAGCTGAAATCTTCAGAGCTTTGCCTATGGAGCACAGTAGGTTTAATACCTGGCATGTTTGGTAAATGCAGGTAAAGCATAGTTTGAAGTAATCCCAGGTTAAGGTGGCCCTTAATGCTTTCATTTCTCCATATCTACTTTTGAAAGATCAACCTATCCATTGAAAGACAAAAATAAAAATACAATGGACTTGCCTTGGCATCAGAGAGCACAAGAGAAAAGTTACTTTATTTTGTCAATGTTTCAGGAGAACAATAAAAGTACAGTTTTTTACCCTTCCATAATGGTACATGCTAAATTTATCTGTGCATGGAGTCACTTCTGTAATAATGCAACAGATTTTGTATTAAAAATTAAATGTGGTTTTAAAAGTCCCTCTCTCTTTTGTAATTTATCATGTGGAGTGGAGTGTGGATATCTAAGTAATGGTATATGTAACAATATAGGCAAATGTGGAAAAAAAAGCAACTGTTAAACCCTCTTGATCTCTTTGTGATTTTTAACTTTTTCAAACATATTTCCTAGTGGGGTTTTTACATTTCTGTTGTTGTCACTTGTTTTGTTTGTGCTGGGGACTGATCTCAGGGCCTCACATATGCTAGGCAAGTGCTCTACCACTCAGCTACAGCCCCAGCCCTCCAATGTTTTAAAGTAGGCAAATTTTTGATTTTTTACTTTAAAAGGCTGTCATATGCAGAGAAAATTAAACATAAATCTAAACATAATATAAAGAAGATAATAGGGCACATCAAAAATATTTTAATGAAAAGCAAGAATAGATATTACCAACATGTTGAGGGTAGGTCTAAAAAGAATAGGCACTGCCTCCTATCTCAAAGTCTGATTCCCCAGTGCCTGCTGTCAGCTATGACCCTGTCTTTTGCCTGCATGGACCTCTGCCTTCTTAGCCACAGGCAACTTGGATTTCTTAAGTGGCCTGCCTGATGATACAGTTTGGACATTTAAAAGTACTCCATATTGTCCACTCCCCTCTCTTCACTTCATTCTTTTAGTTGTCTCAAAACCATCCAACTCTACATATAGCCCAAGATCGATTTGTTCCCATGTTCTACCACCTGTCCCTTATTCACAGGTCCCTTGTCCCAGCATTGCACCCACAAGACCCACTGGCTCAGAGCTCCTGTCTCTATGCAGTTATTTGAATTACATGTTGTATAAGTGATCTATAAGATGCTGTGTAGTGCTCAGTGTTTTTCCCATGGAGGGAATGTCTGTTGCTCATTTGAGAACAACCATCAGACTCTTCTTTTCCCTCCATCTCTGGGCCAAATTCACAGACCACAGCCCCAGTTTACATCAGTCATTGCTCTGCTTAGCAACAGGGTCTGGCAAAATGTGAGCCTAACCAGAAAAATAATTAGTCCATTGCTGGCATAAACTGTCTTATTCAGATGGTTTATAATGGCCCTAGTTTAGTTTTAATGACTAATTTGAGAAATGGCTTGTGGAGGCAAGGAACTGAGAATTCTCACTCCAACCTAGTCGAGTCTCTTCCAGCAGATGAGCTTTTTCCTACAGATGACCACCAGAGGGCCCATGTGCTTTATTTAGCACGCACGCTGGCAAACACGCAGATAGGCAGAAAAAGCCACCTCTGGAAACTGAGCAAACTACTTGGATAATCATACTGTGATATGATGTGCAGAAAATGATCACCTGCTGTAACATGGGAAATGGATTTGTAACTTTCTCTAACAAGTACACAGCTTCCAGGATGGCACAGTGACTTTACTGTGGATGAAGGGAAGAAGCCACCTCTTGAGTCCCAAGGAAGCATCCTCATCACTAATGCAAGTTGGTGTAGAGATGAGGGGGGAGCACATCTTTAAGATGCTGAGCATGTTACTTTGTCTGCCAAAATGGCTTGAGGGGCTGGGGCTGGGGCTCAGTGGTAGAGTGCTTGCCTGGCATGGGTTCAATCCTCACCACCACAGAAAATAAAATAAAGGTATAGTGTCCATCTACAACTAAAATATACATAAAATATCCTGGTTTGATGTTTTGTGATTGTAGAGTGTACGTACACACAGGAGCACAGTTTAAGATCAGACAGCTCTTGCTTTTTACTTTTAAAAAAGGAAAGGAGAGGGAGAGAATACTACTAGAGTATTTATATCCAATAAATAGTTGTTAGGGGGAGGTGGAAAGATCCCTGGACTGGAAAGAGATGAAGACTCATACTCTAACTCCATTGTTAATTAGTATGTCACCATGTGTACACAAACCCCCAATCTCTCACCTCTCCACACCTTTTCCTTAGCTAGAAAATTATGGATAGCAGATGATTTCTAAGACACTTTTCTGCTTAAATCCTGTGGTTCCTAGTAACTAAAAAAGAAAAAACAATCAGAGCACCCTCAAGATCCAAGTATTTTACTAAGTGGAAGAAGGAAGAATGAGCAAAACCAGATGTGATTCCTGCTCTAATGGAGCATGGAGTCCAGGGTAGGGCACAGACACAATCAAATGACCAACTAGAGAGATATGTAATTCCACACTGAGGTAAGAGCTAGGAAGGGAAGGCACACAATGAACTATGAGAAGAAATGGTGGCAGAGACCAGCCTGGATGAGGAGTCAGAAAGGATACCCTCAGGAAGTGTGAACTGAGAGGTGAAGGATAGGAAGAACCAGGCAGGAGCAGGTGGGTAAAGCAAATGCCTGCAGGGGCAGCATGCCTGCAGCAGCTGCAAAGTTCAGGCCATCCTGGGCCTGAGGACCACATGATGAGAACATGTATTTATTCAAGGAGCAGTGGGAAGTAACAGAGAGGGTTAAGTCAGGGTTATATGATCAGCGGGTTTGTGCCGAGGGAATGGGAATTGTAGTACCTTGGGTGGGAGATGCCCTGGATCCGGGTCATAGCACTAGACATAGAAGTGAATGGATGGATTTAGGGAGTTGGGAGGAAGGCAAGCATCAAGGATAGCTTTATGTATGTGTGTGTGTGTGTGTGTGTGTGTGTGTGTGTGTGTGTGTGTGTGTGTGTAGGGAGGCGGGAGTTGTGGTAGTACCAGGGCCTAACCTAGGGCCTCATGCATGTTAGGCAAGCACTTTACCACTGAGCTATGTTCAGAGCCTCTCAGCGTGGCTCTTAAATTTCTGACTTGCCTAGGAACAAGAGGTTCACTTAGATAGAACATTAGAAAATAAACAGGTTTGGGGGTAAGTTACATAGGTTGATAGGTAAGGAACATGAAAATCTCTAAGACATCCAAGAGGAATAGCCAGTGGGAATTGGATATATGGGTTTAGAGTTCAAAAGAAATTCCTAAGATGATGAGCTAAGCCATGAGCCCCAGATATGATTGCCAAGAAAGAATACAAGTAAAAGAGCTAAGGACCAAGCCTTAATAGGAAACTTCCAAATGTACCACTCAGCAAGGGGAGGATGGGCCCCAACAGGAGACTGGGCAACAGCATTCAATGTCTGGAACTTCTCATTGGGAGACATAAGGCAATGTGTTATCCTAGAAGCCAGCAAAAGAGACTTTTTGCAAGAATGAGAGCAGTTTAGTATCATATAACACTGAGAAATTGTGCAAAATGGGGATGGGGAATATTTATAAGATTTGAGTACATAGAGGTCATCTGAGACCTTAGTCAAAGCTGTTGGGTGGACTGTGGCAGCAGTTGGAATGTGATGAAGAGAGTTTAAAAGGTGAGGAGAGCCAGACCTGGACAACCCACCCATCCTTAGCTTGGTTCCTTGACATCTCTACCACTATAATAATATAATCTAAGCATCTTGCTCTCTGCCCATGACCTCTGCAACATTATTTACTCTCCTTTCTCCCAAGCCTTCAGCTTGTTTTTTTTTTTTTTTTTTGGTCATTTTCCCAGCAGATGTTATAGTCCACATTTTTGAATGATGGACTTTGCTCTAACATCCTTTTCCACTTTGTCTTGTCTGAGTACCTGTACCATGTAGCTCAGGATCAAGTCTCCAGCCTGCCCCTAAGAACTAGGGGATATAATGGAGATTAGTACCACTGTACCTTCATCAACATCTTCAAATGGCTCAATCCTCAACACTGCCAGGAGACCTGCTAGTTTTCTCAGGTAAACTTACACTCAATGACTTCTTCCATCTCCTTGACCATTATCCCCTGACCCCTTTTCAACATACCCTCACAAATCACTTTCTACAAAATGGCCTAGCATCATAATTTACTGAAGAGAAAGAAAGAAAAGAATCAAAGATGGGAATTTCCTCCTCTCTGCTGCTCTGCCTCAATGCGTCTCCCATTCTCTGCCTCTATCTTGCATTGAAGCAGAGGAGCTGTTCTTCCTCCTGTGTAAGGCCAAGCTTTCTGCCTGGATCTGGAAGCCTTCTCCTCCTTGGTGGATTCTCACCCATAAGTTATTCCTGCTACTTCCCTACTGGGTGTCTATCTCTATTCCCTGTCCTGCTTCCTTGCTTGAGCCTCTGGTGGCACTTGTTGCTCCCTGCATCCCTGGGCTTTGACTGTGGGCCCCTCACTTGGGCCACTTCATTGCTCCCCTTGGCTTCCCTGCACCTCAGAACCCTAGTGCCACCCAAATTCCCTGGCCCCGCCCTTCCCTGCTCTTCCCTGGCATGGGCCCTCTTCTAGGTTCCTAGACTGGGCTCCTTGCTGGGGTTCTGGCCCTCACTCTACCCACACCCGTCCTCCTGCCCTTCACAGTGTACCCTCCTTCGGACCTCCTGTCCTCCCTGTCCCGCTGGGCCCCTTTTCCTGATTTCTTTCCAGGATGCTCACCTGGGCCTGGGGACTGGACCTGACCTCTTGGATCTGTGGGCTTCTTTTGAAAAATCATAGCCCTATCCCTTGCCTGGGCCCTTTGTCCTCCCTCAGTCCGGGCCCTGCTTCTCAACCCTGACACCCATCAGTGGACCTGGACCTTGAGACTTCCTTCCCCTGCACCACCCACTCCCCTTTCTCCTCTCCCTCCCCTCCTCAGCCCTGTCCCTGTTCAGGCAGCCCACCCTGGCCCTCCCATTTGGCTCTCCATTCCTGGGCTTGGCTTCTTCTTTGAGCCCCCAGCCTCACTTCTCAAGGACCCTGTCTCTGTCCCTTGATTTCAGGCCCTTTTTTCCGGCCCCCTCCTGTGCCTCCCCTCTGTTCCCCTTGTTCTGTGGCATCCTGGAACTGCCTGGACCTTCCCCTTCCCTTGCTTCTCCCTAGCCAGGGTTCTCAGGTGCAGGAAATCCAAGGGGAGCGGAGAAGTGGCCCCAGTGAGGCCCACAGTTCAAGCTCAGGGAAGCATGGAGCAAAAAGGGCCCCCAGAGGCTCAAGAGAGGAGCCAGGCCAGGAAATGGAGAACGAAGGGCCAGTGCTGGGCAGGGGGCTAAGTAGAGTGGACAGGGCTGGG